ACCATATATGAAATAAACTTACAAACTCAGTCTTCTGTGGAGCCAGCCCAAACGAGTTAAATTTAATTGGATCCAAAAATGTCTGCTTAGTGATTGTTTACACTTCAATCAGAAAATGATTCACTCAGGGGTTCATTACGAGGAGCAAGATAAAACAAACAGGAACATATCTCTATAATGACTGTTGTTTTCCTGAGAAGTCCCCCAAATGCTAAATATGATTTAATGTGACATCTTCTTAATGTTGTTGAGGTGTTTAACGTAATGCTGTTAATGACAGTGAATAATGCTGAGTGCTGTGAATGGGACCTGGTAAGCAGCAACATCGCGGTCTTCCCTGGTGACCTTCACCTCAAAACACTGCTGTTTACTCCCATCTAAAGGAAGGATAATAACAGGCATGTCAGATGTTCTGGGCCTTTCTCTAAATTTTGAATATCAAAGCCTTCATTAATACTTATTAAAGATTTACATGTACAAAGAGATTTATTATTTAAATATTAATACTACGTTACTGGAAAACACCCCAGTATTATGTAACGCAGTTTCTAAAAACATATATCAGGTTATCCTGTTTCTATGCTTTATTAAGTTTCTAATTTATAGCTTCAGAATTGGGTCTCTGAAAGTTTTTTCTCTAAAAATACATCATTTACATACCATTTTAATGCTTATATGCCAATTTTCTAGCTGAATCAATCAGCACAGCAATATCCTATTGCGTGACAATGTCAAATCAAAGAAACGGTGTTTCCCCCTTTGCTAGTTACAGGAAATGTTGGAAGGGAATGGTAAGAACGTGCTGTTTCACATGTCATTAAAGTTATGAAATACATGAAAAGGAGACGCTGCCCTTTCCGCAGGTATTTCAGAAAAAAAATGTACAACAAAGTACATGGGCCAACATGCATGGTGAGGCTGGTCTTCCAAAAATGAAATGTTTGGTAATTTGTACATCTTTGCATATTTTGTCAACTTGTTGCTGTACTGAAGAAGTGAATTCAGCACGATGATACCAAGGCTTAATTGCCCTGTATAGTTTTGAGATGAAAGAAACCTGGAGGGTGTAGCCTGCATGTCACAGTGCTGGACCAATAATCAGAAACCCTGGGGAGAACCGGTATATCAATGAGAAGGAGTCATGAGGGAAGCAAAATGTGTTTGGTAATTTGAGCCGACCCAGGGCACAGACATGCCTTTCACACCGTGGGCGGGACTGGATGCTCTATAAAAACCTGCGCTGCTGAGAATAATGCATTCGCTTCTCCTGCCTTATCCTCCTTGCAGAAGTGGGTAAGTCAGAACAGATTTAGAAAACCTAGTGAATAATGAAGAGATGTATTTGATACTATTTTCCTCCTTCCCTGCCCTCCCCCCCAGTTACTAATCTACTAGTGCAGTAGCTTAATGCATTGGGAATTAAGGTTGTGATTTGATGAGAATTATTTATATGTAAGATATTCTTTGCTCCCTGGATTTTCATTAATATTTGAGTATTTGAAACTGTGTCAGTCCTGCGCGCATCCCTCTTTTTCCCTTAAAGTCTTTATCTCGGTACGGCTATGAAGAATTTTCCAGTTTATTTCCTGACAGTTCCCTTTTGACACAGGCGTCATGGTTCACAGTCCCATCTCCCATTATGATCCATGGGTGCAGCCAGTGGGGCTGTGCAGGGAAGCTCAGAAAGGCTGGTCAGGACGAAGGATTAGGGGGAAGACCCGGCACTAAAAATCAGGATAGAATGATAGATGAGGACAGAGGGTGTTGGGCAGCATGCCTGGGTTTGCTGGCTCTCTCTTCCCTTCCTGCATGCTTACAGCATTTATTTGAGGTTTACTTGCTGTTGGGAGCATTGCCTTACAATCTTTTTCTTCCCTGCGGTGTTTTAGGCTTGCCTCCCTCCATCGCACCAAGATGACTTACTACTACCAGAACCAGTGTGAGGATTCCTGCTACTCTCCCTGCAGCTACGGGACCGGGTACAGCTACCGGACCTACGACTGCGGAAGTCCTTGCGGCTACCGCGGCTACGGGGGTCTGTGCGGTTATCGGGACTGCTACCCCTACTACAGCTCCCGCTACTGCTACCCCTACTCCTCTTGCTACACCCGTAGATACAGCTATGGGAGCTGCTACCCCTGCTACCCCTGCTAAATCCAGAAGGATTTAATGGGAAACAAGGACTGAGACTTAATTACCGGCTTTATGGCTGCTGTTAGGGGGACGGTTTGCAGAAGCTCTGAGTCCAGGCCTGCGACTGTATTTTGGAGAGCTCAGTGTTTCTGTAAAACTTCTTCAATGTTCTTCCAAAATGTTTTGTCTTCCTTTTTCCCTACCGACTTCTTAACCCTGCATGGGTTTGGTGGTGTAAAGGAAGCCAGGCTTAACATGGGTTAACATGAGTAAATAACTTCTTAACTCATTTATAGCTCTTTCCCAGCTAACATTAATGAAATCTAGAGTGTACCTGTACTAGCTTCCTATAGATACATCACACTGTGTTTCTGACTTAACTGCTTTTGAAGCTATACCAAAGAAACAGTGAATCATCTGCTCTGATTTGTTTCATTGGACTTAAAGCAAGTGGAAAAGTTTGAAAATGGAAATGGATAGTCAAATGCTACAGCTGTAGCAGCAAAAGTGTTACCAATGAAACCGGGAGATTTTCTGCAGATATAAATTAATCTCTGTACGCATTCTTTCTGCTTCTGCTTTCTGTATTATTTTAGATTGTGATTGTGAGCTTTATTCTTATTAAAATGTTATAGCATCATTACATGTCCCTGTTTTTCTGACTTGGATGTACACAGATTTTTGTCCCCTGCTCGATATGTTTTACGGAGACATACTGCATCCTGTAGCTTTTATGAATGTCAGCTGAACCTGAGCACGTATTTTGCAAACAGTAGTATCTCAGAAAATGAAGTCACCCATTCTGGAATTTCCTAGGAAGGATTTTGAAATATTCTTTTAAATTTGCCTTAACATCACAGTGTGTGTGTAGACATTGGATATAACAGCACCACATCTTAGCAATTTGTAAATGCGTGGACTGCCTGCAGACAAACCCAATTTAACTGGGGAATAAGCCAAGAATTTGGAAGAAAATCCCCCTTTCTCAAGTGCTTTTGTGCTGGCAGTGTCTAGGATGCTTTCTGGATTTAGAGATCTGATTTGTTACAGAGCAGAAGATCGCACACTTTCCATTCACCTTATTAAGTGTTGGTAAGGACAAGTGTTTGCAAGTGTTACTGCAAGGCTCCATTTGAATGACAATGAAATGGCGTGAAGTTCCCAGGCTGCACAATCACAGAATTGCTATTAGGGTGAGATCCCTTGACCCAGTCTGAAGTGACTCTATTATTCATGACTGAAGTACCTAACTGGCAGCGGTAGTAACCTCTTAATAGTACCATGCTGCAACACAGCCTAGGCATAAAACAGCTGGTGGAGTGCTTTGAAAGCCCTATTAAACCCTAGAACCCTTATTGTGAATGTAATTGCTGTCCTTTGAACATACGCAGAGGCACTTGGAGGGCAATCTCACAAGAGGAACAGAGCTCAATTGTGCTACAACACAAAATACGAGTACAAAATTCATCGAAAACCTTTGCAAGTAAAGCTGTGGGTTACACTTCCAGCAGCTTTCAGGGCGGAGCTTTCTCATGGCTTCTGAGGAGCTTTGTTCCTAGGAAAGCACTCACTGACTTCAGCGCCTGACGTGTTCCCTGCAGAAGCACAGTGCAAGTTGCTGTTCGACCTGGATCTTGACATTAAGATCTATAAATTTAGCTGGAATCGGTCATAATTTCAATTTTTCATTAGCTAAATCTATTAAATCAAATCTGGAAAGTTATGAATAAGTTATTAAGTACAAACTGGAAAATATTAGGTGTCTCAGAGTGCACAAGTAAGAGACAATGTTAGCTTAAAATAAATGCTAATGTCTCAGTAGTTCTACAGACTGTTTATGGGCTTAGCTGCTTTAACAAGGGACCTAGATAAAAGAAAGAGTTAGAAATTCGTGGAATGCCACACACATATGTTTCTTCCACTCCGGGAAATCTTAAGATAAGACCAGAAAGAAATCCAAATATCTGGGATGAGAAGGCAAAGTAACTAATTATAGGGTCTATCACAGATGTTTGTACAGAGCATTTGAATGAAAAATTTGAAGGCTATAAAATAGCATTCTGACTAAAGCATATACTGAAATGTCTCAACATATACATTTGAAGTGACTATTATTCAACAATGAAGCACCTGACAAGAGCAGTAAGCTTTTAATAGAGTAGTAACCCACTATAAATGTATAAAATACTTACGAGCGTCTGAGAACTGCTTTGAACTTCTCAGACAACCTAGCGTGGAAAAATATGAAGACGTATATTTCTGCTTGAGAAAAGGACCACAAAGTAACAAATTCACTGCTATTTTTTCTTCAAAAGGTGTCCCTTACAATGGGGCTAATAGCTTGTTTGTATCTGTTGTGTGCTACAACACAAGGGTATCTATGACAAGCTGTTGAACCTCTCACAAACCATGTTGGCTAACGCACATGCCATCTGATATTTAACCCCGTGGCTTGAGCTTCATTATCAACATATGCTGGGCCAACGTGGAAAATCAGAAGAGCAAACTCATACAAACCAACCAAAAGCCAACTTATTGATGCAAAGCGGATTTTTTAATGTGGATGGAAAATGCAATAGATAATGACAGCAGGAAACAAAACAACACAGAAGCAATGAATTGGAAACACAACAATCATGAGGCTGTAGCAAGGCGCAACCCAGGGCTTCACTCCAAAGATTCCCCCCTCCTATTGCAGGCTGGGAGTCTCAGAGCTGTCAGAGCAGGAGACTCTCATCCGAGGATGAGTACAGCTTCGTTGTATCACAGGTTGAGGGGAGCTTTTGGAGGCAGTGCTGGAAAGCCTAAAGCTGCCAGCTGAAGATCTGCAGGGTTACTCTGTGCAAATAAGCAAGGATCGTAAAGATCTAGTAGCTGTTTTGCCACAGCCTAAAGAGGGGCTGAAAGCTTTGCTCTGCCTCTGGTGGTAGAAGACAAGAGGTGCTACTTGTGGAGACCGAGGGTAGACCATAGCCTCCATAGCCCCCAGAAAGACCATAGCCTCCATAGCCCCCAAGGCCTCCGTACGACCCAAAGCCCCCAAGGCCTCCTAAACCACCACGGCCTCCAAAAGTGCCGCCGAAGCCACCTCCAACGCCAGGGGCTCCCACCGAGCCAACAACGCTGTACTGCGGGAAGGAGCTGAGGATGGGCCCGGGGAAGGTGATCGCCGAGGCCGGGGGCTGGATCACCACCACGGAGTCAGGGCACTGCCGCACGCAGGGCTCGTTGGCGGTGTCAGCCAGAGGGGCCGGGGCGGCCACCCCACAGGAAGGGATGCACAGGCTGGCGCAGGACATCTTTCAGGCAGGCAAGGGGTCCTGGAAGAAGCAAGAGGGGTTGGGCGAGGGTGCAGGGAAGGGGTGGTATTGAGGGAGGCAGGGAGAGATCCCCAAGAGGCTTCCAAGAGCTGGACTTACCCCGTTGATTGGGAGAGTCAAGTGGAGGAAGGTGGATGGAGCACTGCAAAGCCCTCAGCTCTTTTATACATGTACCACACTGCCTGGGGCATTGGCCAATGGGGTGGTGGCGGAAAGCCCAGGTAATCTGAAATCCAGCGTACAAGCTTCGTGACACTGATTTCATGTGATTCACGACAATTATATCCCTCTTCATTGGGGACATTGGCATGCAAACGTGCCCTGGAGAAGAAAGAGGTGATGCGAGGGACAGATGTGACACATCATTACATGAAAGACAAGGTGCTGCTGTAGCTGACCTGGCAGCACCAATAAATCCCGATCTGTCCCTAATCCCCCCACTTTGCTTACGTGTCAGAGTCCTGAGCATCTTGCGGAAGTGCTTTGCCATCCTGGGCACAGCCATCATGCCTGTCATTACCTCCCTTTTACAAGCTGGTAATCAGAGGCATCGGAAGCTTGTCAAAGTCAGAAGGCATCCCACCTGCTCGGGGTGGCTCCTAAGTGCCCACCACCTCCGAGTGCTGGCAAGGGCTGGGAGACTCACAGTGGCTAGGGACATCCCTGAGCCTTGCCCATCTCCAGACTCTTGCTAGGTATTTGGGGCTTGCAGGTCCCCTTGATGAAAATGCAAGGAGCAGGCTGCCTGACATGCCTGTGCCTGCAGAGAACGTGGGCACGTGCAGCCTGCCTCACTGCCGCTGTTCGGGCAAGCAGGCAGTCCTGGCACAGCCCTTGCTGCCCTGCTGAGTAATTGAGTCCCTCCAGAGAGGGCTTGGGGAGGACCACGCTATGGCATGACCCACACTCATTCACTGAGGGTGGGGTCTGCTGCGAGGCACTAAGCACTGGTAATCCCAGGCTGTGAGGCACATGCTGCTGGTGCAGAGGAAGTCAGGCATCGCGCTGCAGCCTCAGGGCAGATTTTTCTGCAAAGGCTCCTGCAGCAGGGCTGTGGTGAGGCATAAAAGCTGCCAAGGCCCCAGGCTTCCCTCACTTAACGTCCCAACCGCCTTGACTCGCCAACCTCAGTAAGCTCCTGGCCCTCTTCCTGTCAAAGGACCACAGAGTGTGTAGCCCCGGTAGGAACGAGCCTGGGTGCTGTTGGTGTTATGAGTTTGGGATGAGAAAGGTCCCTGCCGCTGCTGGGCTGAAAAAGGGCATTACTTGCACGCGGCGTGGCCAGGACCACAGGGCAACACTGAGGACTTCCTTGGTGGGCACGCAGGTGACCCTAGTGTCAGAGCACTGCAGGATGGGTGGCTTTGTCTGGGCCAGTAGCAAGTGGCGGGAGGGTGCAGTAGTCCAGGTCTGGTGTGTGGTAATGAGCTGCAGGTGTCATGGAGATGGTGCAGGGAGGTACTGAGGGGATGTTTCCTGAGGCCTCTACCTGGAAGGCGGGACTGTGGAGCCCTGTCCATGCCAGCGGGTACCCTTAAAACAAGCTCTGCCTTATCTTGCAGCTACATCTCCTGAACTGAAGGATGTCCTGCGCCAGCCTGTGCATCCCTTCCTGTGGGGTGGCCGCCCCGGCCCCTCTGGCTGACACCGCCAACGAGCCCTGCGTGCGGCAGTGCCCTGACTCCGTGGTGGTGACCAGCCCCCGGGCCTCGGCGATCACCTTCCCCGGGCCCATCCTCAGCTCCTTCCCGCAGTACAGCGTTGTTGGCTCGGTGGGAGCCCCTGGCGTTGGAGGTGGCTTCGGCGGCACTTTTGGAGGCCGTGGTGGTTTAGGAGGCCTTGGGGGCTTTGGGTCGTACGGAGGCCTTGGGGGCTATGGAGGCTATGG